TTACGTTGTAAATGTCTATGGGCTCCAGTAACCACTTAACATCAGGTGGGTTGTGAGCTCGTCCACCCATCTAAGCAATAAAAAAACCCACCTCGAGACATGAGTTCTAAGGTCTCAGTTTTTACAGTACAAAGGCTGCCCTCCAAACCGTTACGTATTACTGCTTCACGGCAGAAATAGCAAGTGGTACCTAGCTGTGCGGGCTCGAAAGTCATTCTACCACCAGTACAAGTACACAGTACAGTGGTTACGTTACTTGTGGCAGGCGGTGCGATCGTAAAAACGAGATGATGGGATCAAATAATCCCTCCCAATGGAACAATCGGTACAAAATACAGAGAGAACCGAAGTCCCTCCGCAGACCCAGAGGTTCCAAACAATCCGTGAGGATGGNTGGTACCTAGCTGTGCGGGCTCGAAAGTCATTCTACCACCAGTACAAGTACACAGTACAGTGGTTACGTTACTTGTGGCAGGCGGTGCGATCGTAAAAACGAGATGATGGGATCAAATAATCCCTCCCAATGGAACAATCGGTACAAAATACAGAGAGAACCGAAGTCCCTCCGCAGACCCAGAGGTTCCAAACAATCCGTGAGGATGGAATTATCGACAATCCAAACGGCCCTCTTCTGTATGGAATCAAATGGAAGTAGTTGGTATGTATAATATAGAAATTACTTATCTTTACTTGTTTTGGCAGAAAATTTACCAGGGTAAAGTTAAATTCTTTAATAATAACACTACATACAATTTGTTATTGATGTTTCAATGAACGTTAAAATATTATTATAACATTTAACTGTGTTCTTAACCTAATTCTTATTACCAATTGTCCTAGATTTACTTATTCAATCCACGATGACCGTCTGGCCATATGATCTAGCTTAGTGTATTAATGGATTTCATCCTGCACCCACACAAGGTTATTGCGTGAACAAATTGTATTTCAAGAACAATCCTAACTCACACACACCGAAAAGAGTACTTAGAGGCAGTGAGACGAAATCGAATTTATGAGGAGAGAGTTTTTGCGTTTGCTCTGTCTGAGATTCGTCGCAATATTTCTTTGTTAGTTTAACAAAGTTTGGTCACAGAACTACAGCCACAGCATATCGCACCTTTAGAATTATAGGGACCCGATCCAAAATGTGTTTTCTAGAAAACATCGAATAAAGTTTTTAAACCGAAAAGACGTAGAGGAAGGGGACGGAGTGAAAGAGACCAATGGAGAAGTTTGTCCCTTTCTAAGCTACTTTTGGTCATTTGATTATTAGGAGTCGCTGAAAAAGGTCGTTCTAGGTACATTTTTGAATATAATATATTTTTTTTATTGCTTAGATGGGTGGACGAGCTCACAGCCCACCTGGTGTGGTTGTGGAGCTCATAGACATTTACAACGTAAATGCGCCACCCACCTTGGGATATAAGTTCTAAGGTCTCAATATAGTTACAACGGCTGCCCCACCCTTCAAGCCGAAACGCATTACTGCTTCACGGCAGAAATAGGCGGGGTGGTGGTACCACGGAATAGATAAATAAGGTAGCAGGACCGGTCATTGTGGCGAGACCTGGGGCAGGCCTATGTCCAGCAATGGACGTCGACACGCTGATGATGATGATGGTTTTCTTTCCGAAAGGTCTATTACAACACAAAATAGAAAACGCAATACAAAAATGACCAAACTAATTTCCATTCATAACAATGAACCGAACTTTAAAAACTTTTACTTCAGTTTCCGTCACATTGAATTAAAACTCAGAAGCAGTTAAAAATGCTCATTACAAAAGGAACAATGTAAATTGAACACCAAAAATTAATCAACATTCAAGTATATTTGACGTCGTGCCAAGTGAGGGAATTTGGCACAAGAATCAAGAATATTATCTAGACGAGTTGAACGTCCCATCGCAAAAGTATGCCCTAAGCCCTAGGCCAACGAATATAAATCATACTTCCTTTGACTTTCACGGGGTATCTACATTGATTTTATGAGTAAGGGCCTTATTTTCAGTAGAGACTTTCAGACAAACATCTATAGTTTCTTTTTGTCCCCTAACATTTCTTTGGTCCAAAACCAACGAAGACCACACAATATTCGTCTGCTGTCGAAGAACAAAATGAAAACATACATATAGAATTTGTTCATTTAAGAAGTGGTATTTATTTATTCTACTTGAAACTTCACAACCCACCAAGGACCGATGACAGTAGAATAATTAAATAACTTCGCTCTAATATTTCGACCAGTATCAAAAAGATAAAAAAAGATGATATTTTTTACACATTATTTCTACATAAATACTTATTTAAAATATTATGTTCACGGGCAATTATTTTTTTTGTTTTAGGAAGGAAGGATTATTGGTGGCCCGGAGGCCTTTCCAGTTTCACCAGGACAGGTGGGCGAGCGAAGGCTCAGCCAGGAGGGATGGGATTAGCTAATAGCTGCCTGAGCGCCTCCGAAGGAGACTTAACAGCCCAAGGGCAGCTGCTTCGCGAATGCATCTACTCCGGATCAGAATCGCGACCCGCTGAGAAAATCCGGCGAGAAACTCGGCGAGCTGATGTATGGGAACGAGTTACACAATGAAGACAAAAACTTCGTGGGATCAAATCACATCAAGAAAATTTATAAATCTGTGTAATCACTAGTTAATGGTCACACATTAGGACCAATGAAAAATCGTCCTAAAAGTGCCCAACAGAGGGATTTTGCGTAAAGCGTGATTGATCTCCACAAAAGCTTTCTTAAGTATGAGAGAAAAGAAAAAAAAATCGTTTTCAGACGAAATCCATCGTTACATTACCGACATCTAATAACGATAAATCGGTTACGATATTATTATGCATGAACCTGAAATTCAAATGAACGTAACGTAAGATGACGCCACGAGGGCTTAAATGGTTAATGGCAATATTCGGGGTGGGCTTGAGACCTGATTTATTTACTACTGAGATGACGGGTGCAGAAACAGCCAAGCGCGATGCCACATGGTCACCGCAGCCCATAGATATGTTAACTCGAACGCCGTCATCCACTTCGGAACATTAAACTTCGGAACATTAAACTTAGGTACCTCTGGCTGGTAGGTAGCTACGGGAACCTATAGACATTAAAAATCTAAATCCCATCCAAACTCGAATTTTAAGTCCCAGTTTTACCGTACAACGGCTGCCCCACCCTTCAAACTGTAACGCATTGCTGCTTCACGGCAGAAATAAGCAGGGTTTTGGTACCTACCCGTGAGGGCTTACAAGACGCTCTCCCACCAGAATATTGAAATCCTCTACCCCCCTAAATGAATATTAAGCTCCAGAGACTTTGCGATGAATAGAAAATCATTCTGAACGAATATTTTGCAATACATTGAGGGATAATCTATTTATTCTTTCAAAATTAAAATTAGCCTTCACTAAATTGGGAATATGAGAACTATTTCTGTAAAACCTTCAAAAGTATTAAGTATATCTCGAATGAGGAGGAAGGAGGACTTTTGAAGGAGAATTTTCGCAACGTACATTCTATAGATTATATCTTAGAGGTGTCGCTTTTGCGTTTCATCAATTGAAAAAAAATTAAGCTCGCTAAGTTGATTGACGTATTGACTAAGTGTCAACTTTTATTATTTTTTACGCTGCGTATTTCACGGCAATTATTTCGTATTGGCCCGAAATTTTTTCTTTGATAATAAACTGTTTTTTTTGTTACTAGATATATACGTCAAGTCGTGCAGACTTAGCGACTGCGAGAACGAGACAAAAAACTACACGTTGTCGTGTCGGCGAATTTATTTCACACAGCACATCATAGTCCTTGACTGGATAGGTACCACGTTTTACATGTTTTTATATCGGAACTGTGAACTATTTTAAGGATTGTCTATTTGTCGCATCTACAGTGCCCAAGCTATTGTCAAAATTAGCTTACATAATCAAAACGTATTTAAACATATTCAGAAATGAATGATAATAAACCGTTTACTTTTGGAGGGTAGTTAAAAAAAAAGCAAAGATTCACTGTCATTACTAGGAGTGCGAAAGAGATAGCGAGAAGATCACAAGCGTCTAGTTATTCCTTTTCTAGCACGATCCCTTTCGTGACCTGATGAAGACAGCTGTTATTCCAGTGCATCAGACGGCGATATTACGTCACAGTTTGAACAGTGGCGTTCATGTTTTGCTGTCCATGGACCATTAACTATAAAACCCATCAATGAGATCATTAATTTACGCTATCAAGAAATCTTTATAGTCGACGAGAATATCTTGAGTGTCACTTAAAATTTGACGTAACAATATCCACATAGATATAAAAAAAGTAGCATGCAATAATAGGCATTTGAGCATATTTGATATCGGAGAGTTCTGCGAGCCTCTTCCATTGAACTAGCGCATCAATGAAACTAGAATCGGCCGTTCTAGGCATGCGTGTGACGTAAGCGACGGCCCCCAATTCCCGGATAGAGCGCTGCCCCGATGATTCATCTTGTTTGTTGATTTACTTCTTTAATTTGTTTGGGACGTGAAAAATCGACCTTGCCCCTTTATTGTTTATAATTAAATTCGCTTGATTCTATTCGTAATACAAGCGACATTTTCTTTTTGTGAACAGGCTTTTAATTTACTTAGAGCTGTTGGCTGTTTTTAACTTTATTAAATCGAGATTGAATCATTGAAATTTAAAGCAGAAGTTACAAAAGCTAAACCTAAGTAAAACCGTGCTACTTTTCCTGGGGAGGCCTGTGCTGTACAGAAAGATGGTCAAGAAATCGATGTCGAATAAGAAAATTGGATCATAAGTGCATACTTACATGTTTAAGTTTTTAATACCCACCTTAGTTATTAAAATAAGACCGAAAAAATGGCACTAAAGTTTTTATAGATTGTTAATAAAGGAAATCTATATCTTTATAGCTACGTTTAGCAAGTTAATAGGGTAAGAAAATGTAAATCAGGATGTTGCTAATAGGCAAAGAGTTGAGAATGTCGTACGTTACCTGATTCTCCTGATTGAGCAGTTTCAGCTGGTCATTAATGAGGCTGTATTTGGCGCTCTCTTCCTTTCTCAGTGCCCGTTCTTTTTTGAGCTCCGGACTCCAGAAGGTCTTGATGCTGTGCATGCTGGAGCCGAGCTTCTGGTTGGTCAATTCGAGTTCTTTCTTGAGGTTGCCCAGTTCCCGTTGCAGATCCGAGTTCTGGGACTGCAGCTCGCCGAGGAAGAGGGGGGGCGGCTCGCGGCGGTAGTAGTCGTCCTCGGGGGGTGGCGGCGGCGCGTACGAGCGGTCGTAGTCGCGTTCGAGCGACTGGTAGCGCAGGGGACGCGGACGAGCGCGGTGGTGGGCGCCGGCCGAGGCGGAGCGGCCGCGCTCGTCGGGCGCGGGCGAGGGCTCGTCATCGCGCGCGAGGTAGGGGCTGCGGCGTGAGGGGCTGCGGTCCACCTGGGGCAGCCGGCCGCGCGCGCCCGTCCACTCGCCGCGCCGCCACTCCTCCCGGCACGCCGGCCGCTCCTCCTCCGCACCGTACTCGCGGAGATACAGCTTGGCTCGTTTCCCGCCTCACTGGGGACGCATTGTGCACTCGACTGCGCGACGGCTCCGCGACCACTGAGCGTTCCCTCGGGCGCATCGATCGCTTCCCGGCGAGCGCATGCGCGTAGCCCCACGACTCAGCCGCTCCGACTACGCGATTGATTGTCGCTCCCGACGCCCGCTCTCGCTATACTTCTTATTAAATAAATCGCGAGCTATTTCCAGCACTTCCAGTATTACGAGAATAGACCTCGATGTTATGTCAGCGGGAAAATCAATGCTTTCAGATTTATGGTTCCGTTAGATCTTCTTTTGTTTGCCATTTGACCTTTACTGTCGTGTATTCTGCGAGTATGTTAAATGTGTAATGATAAAAAGTTGGATTAAGTTTAGCAACAATATTAATAATAGGCCTATAGTTTCAACAGTAACAGATCCATCTATAATCGAATGTAAAGAACATGTATACGTCGATATTTGATATCATAATTGAAAAATATCGATTTTTTTTTGTCTTCTGTAAAGTTACGTAACGCTTCTCGCAAACATTGGAAATCAAATCTAAATCTTGTACTCTGTAACCAAAATCGTTAAAAGCGTCATTAAAACGTCATTAATTATAAACAAGTTTTTAAACAAATCGTCTATTTATAGTTGCATTCAGTTATTTTCCTGGATTTTCCGTCGCTACAAAACGCTAAATAAAAAACGCCGGATCTGCTCTTATCCCGTGACCTAGTTACATCTTCCGTCTTTGTCGCACGTACTGAATTCTCTCGTATATCTGTCTCGGGTGTAGTAAGGACGGATTATGTCGGTCAGACGATGGTAGCGATCGGGAAAAGCTTAGTGATGTTATCGTATCGATTTCATTTAATAAGTTTTTTAACATTTTTTTGTTAGCCTAAAAGAATGAACGAAGTCACGGCCTAGCTAGAGTTAAATGGTTATCGGAGCCCATAGACATTAACAACGCAAAAGCCGCCTACCTTGAGATATAATTCCAAGTCTTAGTTCTATAGTACAACAGCGATATAAATAGACAGATTGGTAGTGGTTGGGTAAGCCACCTACCCGCTTTCCTTCCAATGTCTGTCTACTCCTACCTACTAAATAAATTAAATTAATCTTCTAATAATAGAAAAATACGAAAATCTCCCCGAAACGTAAACTTTCAACATTATTCAACATTACATTGCCAAATACAAAAACCCAATCACTTTTCGTTTTGACGTATGGCTAATTGTATGAAAAACATTTTCATAAAACTATGCACACATTATACTTTGATGATAATTTTACAGAAACCATTACCTCATAAATATACCAAGCTTCATCACAGTCTCAGATCCACAATATATTAAAAAGTGTCCACTGAAAAAGACCCAAATAAGATGGCGATATAGTAGCAAGTGGAAAGATTTAAAAACAATTTCATGAACTATTACAGCAGGATACTTCATTAAGAAGGGAACAACGCTTCCTACGAAAAAAGTAATAAAATGAACAGTTAATATTTGAAATACTCCATATTTTTTAAATACACAAGTCACAAAAAGTATTAAATTTTTCAACCCCCACATCATTCAGCACACTTTTAATCTATTTAAAACTACTATATTCATATCATTTCGACTTCCTACTCTAGCGCTATTTCGCGTTTAGCGTAGCGTGTAGCGTTAGCGTTCAAATATTTCGTTTACATACAAACATAAATGCATACTGAGCCAATAAAAGCTGGTTAGTAAAGAAGTTTTTTAAAGGATTAAGTATTAATCTTTCGAATACATTTCAAATAATTCTTGGGTTGCCTGTATAAAATTGCCGAATTGTATTTTTTTTTGCTAAATAAAGACACAGATTTGTTTCAAGAAAGCAAAACTTAAATGTTATTTGCAAAAGGTATGTACATTTTACTTTGACGTGTTTCAATAATCTATTTGTATTTATCAGCTAAATTAATTTGTGTATATGACGTAATCGCGAGCTATATGTTCACATCACTATCGCCGAAGGCTACAGTACGGTGAATGAAAAGGGGAAAATCGCTAACAGTGCGACCAGTTAAAATGAGACGGCGTCGCCGCTGTGTCGCCGGCAGTCGTTAGTGAACTACTGCGTAGCGTGGAATTGGGTTTAATAGCACTTTATAGATCCATGACGCCCTGGTATTTTAAATCAATGAAAAAAAAAAACTATTAATTTTTTTCTTCATTGAAACCTTTTTGGTTTAGGCTGTATATAATCTGTATGGCAAATGTATCCCTCAAAAATTGAGCATATAGTTTTGTATAAACCTTTTTAGTTGTTTGATTAGGTATATTACTTAATTGTAGAGCGTATTTTAAAGTTTTAATTATGTTTAGAATGTTCCAGTTTTATTCCGCGACTATATAGTGATGTTTTTAATTATGATTTGATCGGTAGACTCGATGTTCATCTCACAGTATATCACAGATCTATAGGATCCTAGAGATCCCAACGTGAATGTCTTCCATTTCGAATCAATAAGTCTCAGTCCAATCGGAATCTTCTTCCTCTGTAGGATCGGCACAGCATTTTTCTCTATTCCATTCTCTTCTATCAGCTGACATCTCAACACTCTCTCTCTCTCTCGTGCCAACCTCTTCCCCTCCTACCTTGCACTACCATTTCCATACATCTCCTAGTCACATTCCTCTCCTCTCCGTCCGCTTTATAATTTGTTATGTCTGCCGCGTGCACTCCTTTTTCATCCTTTACTTTCGTCGCCCAACGTTCAGATTCATACAGCACAATAGGAGATCGTTTTGTAAATTTCCCCTTGAGCTTATGGGGCATTCTACGATCGATAAATACTATTATTATTAATATATGATCGCATATCTATTATTTAACGGTTTTTATATTTTTTATTGCCTAGGTGGGTGGACGAGCTCACAGCCCACCTGGTGTTAAGTGGTTACTGGAGCCCATAGACATCTACAACGTAAATGCGCCAGACACCCACCTTGAGATATAAGTTCTAAGGTCTCACTACAGTTACAACGGTTGCCCCACCCTTCAAACAGAAACACATACTGCATTTCAAGCCAGAAATAGGCGGGGTGGTGGTACCTACCCGTGCGGACTCACAAGAGGTCCTACCACCAGTAAACCAGGTCATACCACGATTTTTGCTTTTATCAAGTGACTGATGTTTTGCTAATGTAATTATGATCATAATTGAAAGTTATTGACGTGTAAGGAAAGGAAACGCAGAGCTCTTAATGGGTACTCAATGATTCAATTTATGCTACACAGCTAACCACATATGACGTCAAGCTGTGGAATCTATTTTGACTTAAATATTAAAACTACGTTTCGTTTCTTGTGTTCTGGCAATTTTTTTTAAATAGTATACGCGAAATTACTAAGACTCGCAAAAATCGGAGAAAATATGCACTACCTACACAATAGATTGTATTTATTGATATTGAAAATTTTAATTATTAAATTATCCATTTTTTTAGGGGATTTTATGTCCTGGTAACCAAGACCTTTAGGTCAAGTCTTATTTTAATTTATATTCTTATTTTTATGAAAAATGATAATATGAAGTGAAATGAAATGAGATGAGATGAGATGAGATGAGATGAGATGAGATGAGATGACATGGTATGAAAAATAATCTTGCGACTTTGTTTGTTTTTCCCAAATATATGCACTTTCACAGATACTAAACAGTTAATAAGCCACCGATAATACACATTTAAACCTGTAGAAACGCTAAACAGGCAAAATAAAACAAATCACATAACTCCACTGCTCGCGTTCCTTCCAAAAAGTACATAATTTTTTCAGATAGACATGATTGATGATTTTTTTAAATTTAATCGAGATCAATTATCAGTTCTTTAATATTATTATTATTTTGTTTACGGATTTACAGTTGTATATTCACAGATCTATAGCGATCCCATATAATTTAATACAGTAATACTACCGTAACTATCGATCATAGAGTCATTTCATAGTAGTAAGGTATTTTCATCATTTTAACTTCGTAATAAGGTGACACTATAATCTACTAAACAGTCGACTTCGCCCTAAGCATGTCTTTTCCAATCCTCCCGATTCACTAACGGTGGTTTTAAGTACGTCTTTTTTTTCCTACCTAGCCTGTTTGCCTTGAGAGGTTCCTTCAGCTTTACCCTAACGTGTAGGTGAGCTCACAGGACTCAACCCAGAAACGTTGCTAACACTGGCTCTAGCAAGAGCAATGCTTCACAGACACAGCCCACTGAGTTTCTCGTCGGATCTTCTCAGTGGGTCGCGTTTCCGATCCGGTGGTAGACGCATAGCGTCGTCGCGTCCCCTTACGGGGGCCGGGACGAGCTTCGAGGCAGCTCCCTCTGCCCGGGCTTAGGTCTAGATTCTGCGAAGCACTGCTCTTGCTAAGGCTAGTGCTAGCAACGTCGTCAGGTTTTAGCTCCGGGAGCTCACCTACTCGCTCGCTACCAGCTTAGGTAGGGAAAAATAATAATAGTCATAATTTTAAAAAGAAAATATTGCCTGCTTAGATTAATTTTCAACTGTGAGGTGCACTTATTGGAAAATGGAACAATACTTGGACGTGGCTTCCCGGATTCTTCTAAAATGTTCACGGAAATCATAATAAATAATCACCATTTTACTGAGACTCTATTTCATCCCATCTAATCTTATTTCATTTAATTTAATCCAAATTAATCAATAATTAAATAACAGCTACAAATAAAACTCTTCGCCACATTTCATCAACATCATTTGTCACACCATTTTCGATATTTTCCATAATAAAGGAAATTTAAAAGACTAAGTTATGTGGTGTGGATACCTTCGCCTTTCTCAATGGAAAGTTATAATACTACTATTACTGTCAATTAATAAATGTCAAAATAAAGGTTATGTTTTCATAATTTTGCTACACGATTCTAAAGTATCCAATTTATATTATTATAGTACAAAATTTAAAATATGTCCCTACCTCCGGCTAGTGGAACCGGCAGATATTTTGCTAAAGCAGCGAAGTCTATTCGCCTAATACGCCAAGGTTGCACAAATCGACCATTCTTTCACATTTCTGTAACCCATGTAAGATTCTAAATTTAAATAATTTCGTTTTTATCAAATTCGACTGAGTTATTTTGTTAGAAGTATTCTATTAAATTTAGTTTGACAGATTAATTATATTTAAAAAACAAGTTTTATAACTAACATTATTAGATACACTTTAAATTTTTAGTAGCCTAACTTTAGCATTTCAACTTGTTATTTTATTAGTTAGTACTATATTTTCTCGAACACTGTAAATTTGGTAAACATTTTATTCTGCTTAACAATGCATCTTAAGGTTTTTTTCTTCTAGAGGAGACGTTTAAACAGTCAGCCAGTAATAGAGCAGCTAGGTTCATACGATCCAATGCCGAACATCAATAATGAAAAGCTAGTTGCTTTGAATTTGGAACGACTTAAGTATTGGCTTGGGAAGGGTGCTCACGTATCGACCCCAGTTTCAGAACTTCTTGGTAAATATTAATTTTTAATTATGATTACTTATGACTTTTGAAGTTGGACAGTTCTTTATTTCAGAGTCACTATTTGACCTTTTCCCTTCGAATAGAACACAGATAAAGTTGTTATGATGGTCCGGAGAGAACACTAGACTTGTAGTGGAACTCACTATACAGAAGGCTTCCAGGTCACCTTTTGTTTTGCATGAGGTTCTCCATCAGTTTCTTATGATACCATGTTTTTATTAAATTTATAATTAATTGGATGGATAAGATCGCGGCACACTCATATTAAGTGTTTACCGGAACCCATAGACATTGAAAACGTAAATGCCACTACCTACTTTGAGACTTGAGTTCTAAGTCAGTATTATCGTGTAAGGGCTGACCTATTCTTGAAAAATAATAGGAATATATATTGATAGTACTTACCTATGTGGGACAAGACACTTAATTAGTCAATAATAATAGTGTTTTATGAATAATTTTCAAACAAAAAAATACTTGAAAGTTGTAACCATAAAAAAAACAATCTTCATGGTGAAGTTATAAGTTATGGTATATACAAAAGTATATATTGTGTATGTGTTGGCTCAAACATCAAAAAGGTAGATGGAGCAAAAGTATATTAAAAACTAGCAGACCCAGCAGACTTCGTAGTGCCTCAGTCGACAAATAAAAGACCTAAACTTTTGTATAAAATAAACTTAAAATAAACAAAAGGTATCCATCCGATGGGGGACACATGAAGGAAAAACAAAATTATTTTTATTTAATTCCGACGAGTCTTTTTATATTTATATTAAACCTTTTAAACCTTCTCTGTACTGCCATAAATCATTCAAGACCAAAATTAGCCAAATTGGTCCAGCCGTTCTCGAGTTTTAGCGAGGCTAACGAACAGCAATTCATTTTTATATATATAGATAAAAGATAAATAAAAAACCCTAATAAAACAAAAAAGAATTGTATCAAGAAAAGACATTTCTAACTAAAATGGCTTTTTAGTTTTTCAGATAGTGTACATATTTTTTTAATATTTTCAGGACTCTCAGGATTTTTCCCCATACATCCTCGAACCTACATGACTGCCTGGAGAAATAGACAACAAGAAAGGGAGAACCTAGCCAAACAAGAAGCAGAAAATGCCAAAGAACAAACTGCTGCAACATAAATTTATATAGAAACATTAAATTAGTATATAGGAAAAATAAATTAATTCATAACTAAATCCATTTATGTTTAAGTTTTGTTTATTATAAGTAGACGGTTCTTTCTTCTCAGTCGTGTCACTCTTGACAGAGCGGTCGTGATCGTCATGTAGTGTTGGAAGGGGCAGACTTGATGCGTCTCACGATGTCGCACCATCTCTCCCTGCTCGAGGCCATTCTACTGCACTCATTTAGGGGACTTCCCACTGCAGTTTTAATTTGGTCGGTCCACCGCATTGGTGGCCTCCCGCGCGGTCTTGTACCATCAACGCTTCCCTGTACAACGAGGCGTTCTATGGACCGGCCATCTTTTAATTGAGCGTATTTAGTGCAAAAATAATAGACAATAAGGGTGACTTAGTTTCGCCAGCCTTAAACGTAATTGTAATCGTGAAACTGATAGTGGTTGCACATCGAGACTCATTGACTATGTCAGGGCCACAACGGAGCTGTCGTTTCTAACAGGAACTAGGAATGGGCACTTGCCCGGTGACCAGTGTGAAAGATATTTCTTTGGTATTGTCTCGGTGTATATATGTATATGTGCAAGTAAAACAGACTTAGTAACTGGCTATTACATGGACCCAGATATCTTAATTACCATTGCATATTTGCTATGGTAATTAAGATATCCGGTTAGTAGTTAGTAGGATATTTCCTAAAAGCTTTCCGTTTAAAGAAGAAACTGCAATTTCACAATTTAATGTTCATTGAAAATGAGCAAGTGCGTTCCTTTTTTTTTTTAGTAAACCTTGTTGATGCTGTCAAATGTAGATCATTTGAAAATTCATTTAATCTCAGTTATAATTGTTGTTAGAAATCGTTCTTGGACATCGGCAGAGCCTTTAGAACATTCTAAACACAACATTACACTCCATTCCATATTAGAGAATTATCTCTTAAAAGTAAGATCAAAGACTGTAATAGGCAGATAAATTTGAAGCGTTTACGTATTCAATGAAATAAACGAGATCCCATCTCATCATATTTATTTCGGAATTTAAGACATTTTAAATCCAGAATATGTTGACGAGCAGCAGTTATCTGTTTTTGACAAACTTATCTGCAACAAATAAAGCGGTAATTAGAATTTAAAAATATATTTGTTATAAATATTGTCTTTGTCTTCAAAATTTTAGAATTAAATTCGCTATGGACTTTGCCTAGTGAGATGGTTAGCTTGCTTTTCAAATGTTCATAACAGCCAGCCAAGGCAGACATATTGGCCCAGCATTCTAATTTATTTTGAGCTCATGTCGTCCCAACTACTCTAGGGCCAACATACTACTCCAAAGGATTCACATTAAAGACTAGAAATGACTACGTTCATAGGAATAGTCAAGCCATTAACCATCTAATTTGATTAGTCTTACGTACCTAAATGCTTTTCAAAGCGTTTTGTTCATTGATAATAGTCGTCATTGTTACTAGCGATACCGGTGGTAGATTCTGCGACTTGCGAGACACTACTCTTGCTAGGCTAGTGTTAGCAAATTCTGACAATTTGAGCCCGTGAGCTCATGTATCCGTCTGCACGTAGGTAGCTTAAATAACACTTCAGGCTACCAGTGAATAAATAGATAGCAAAAAAAACTACTCGGTGTGCTTAGTGCGAGTTTTTTAACGTTCTGGATAGCGTAAAAGTTAGCTCATATTTGTATGGAGTGGGATCGTTTGCGTACGTTTGCCGCTAGTGGCGCTGTTCCAACTGTATACAAAATTGGGCTAACTTTTACGTTATCGAGAACGTTAAAAAACTCGCACTAAGCATACTGATGGCGTTTATTTTGTTTTAAAGGTCGAAGTTAGACTATAGCACTTGCACGTGTTAACATCAACAACGTCAATGTCCCCACGTGGTCGCCACCCACTTTAAGACACGATTTCTAAGTCCTAGTTCTATATTACAAGGGCTGCCCCACCCTAAAAGCCCGAAACCATATTGTCGCTTTAGTGTCGCAGAAGGCAGTGGCGTTGATGGGTTCATTTGTGAATTCGTCGTTGTTTTGAAGTCGTCGTGGCCTAACGGATAAGACGTCCGATGTATTCGTGTTGAGCGATGCACCGGTGTTCGAATCTCAGGCGGGTACCAATTTTTCTAATGAAATACGTACTCAACAAATGTTTACGATTGATTTCCACGGTGAAGGAATAACATCGTGTTATAAAAATGAAACCCGCAAAATTATAATTTGCGTAATTACTGGTGGTAGGACTTCTTGTGAGTCCGCGCGGATGGGTACCACCACCCTGCCTATTTCTGCCGTGAAGCAGTAATGCGTTTCGGTTGGAAGGGTGGGGCAGCCGTTGTAATATAGAACTAAGACATATGACTCGTGTCTTAAAGTGGGTGGCGACCACGTGGGGACATTTACGTTGTTGATGTTCGGAATAATTCCGGAACGGATGAACTTTTGTGGGGCAGAACCTACATATACATAGGTTTAAGAAAACTATTAAAGAACATCTGTGCAATAAAGCTTACTATAAAGTCAATGATTATCTAGAAGATTGCACAAAGTGGGAATGAGTTGCTCGCTCCGGGCATGTCAATATTGTAATAATTGTTATGTTATAATTACTTACTGTAAAAATTAATATTTAAAAAAAAACTAATATTTAAAATAAAATAAAAAATCTAATAATTAAAAAAAAAAAAAAGATGACATGCCCGTTGAGTTTCTTGCCAATTCTTCTCAGGACGGAGGCTAATTTTTGTGAATTGGCGGTAATTCTTTTGACGTTCAACAAGTATGTACTTTCATTTATGTTGAATAAAACTTTTTTTTGATTTGATTTGATTTGATTTTGTAACTATACTGGAGACCTTAGAACATATATCTCAAGGTGGGTGGCGCATTTACGTTGTAGATGTCTATAGGCTCCAGTAACCACTTAACACCAGGTGGACTGTGAGCTGGTCCACCCTTCTAAGCAATAAAAAAAAAAACTTAGTACTGACGTAATGTCTTACGGAGTTGGTGCTATCATGGCGGCGGCAGTCAACTTTGATATAATGCTTCCGGCCATTAAATTCCCGTAATACGACTGGGCTGAAGCTGCAATGCTTCCCGCCATTATTCCCGATGCGCTGAAGCCGAGCAGAGGTGCCACGATTGGGATCAAAAACCCTCCCATGCAAAGAACGGCTCCGCCTACGATGTTGACTATTAGGGCAGTGAAAAATCCCATGATCCTGAAACATCGTGACATGAATTTTAAGTAGTGTTCCCTGAAAATTTTAATGGAAGACCGGAGTGGTGATATGTGATTAAGGTACCCGATATTGCTAAAGTTGCACGCAATTTAAATCGTAATCGCAGTGTTTCTCTTTTACGATATAGATTTTTAAGTGTATTTAAAATCAGGTAGTTTACTTTTTGACTTCCAGAACGTTAGACTTCTAGATTAGATAGGTAGACAGGCTTACCTGTTGTTAAGTTGTCTACCTGGTATACCTTAGTCGTCTCCGTTTCGATGATAATCTAATGCTGCAGAATCAGGTATACAATTACAACTTATGACATTCACAAAACGAGGCCCGCTAAAAGTCGGTTCAGAAATGATCTCAACAATAACAATGGTTTAACGATTAACACAAGCAAAACTTCTCAGTCGATAGTGAAGTTGGTACTTGCTAATACAGAAAAAATACATCTACTTGGAAAACAAATAGGATTTAACAGCAAAAACAATGATTTATAAGTAGAACGAAGAATACAAAACAATGGTATAGTAACCGGGAAACTTCTTGAGCAAATGACCTTGACTGCGCAGAACCGAATTTTAGATCACTTTGGTGGTGAGGGTGAGGCGCGACGGCAGGGGAAATCGTATCGAGCGCGTAATTGGTAGATCAGTCGAACCTTGCGTCCCGCACCGCGCCCTCGTTCCGCTTGCTCCCAAAAGTACGCTTGCGTACAGTGAAAAGTCTATCGTTATTAATCGTTAAGTTATTTGTTATAATTGCTTGTTGACTTTGTTGCCATTGCTATTTGTTGAGTGTTTGTTGATTTTTTATAAAAAATACACTATGCCGCGACAAANCTTGTTAAGTGATGCCGCCAAAGGTAGAACGAAGAAGTTCATGCCTAAGCGTGACGGACCCTACCAGATTAGTAATATCGTTAGTCCTACTACCTATGAGGTTACTGATTTGAATTCGCAGGTTTTAGGGAAATTTCATGCTTCTCATTTGAAGCCGTATCATAATCAAACCGGTCAGGTCTCAGCTCCAGTACAGCCTCGACGCCTGCGTGGACGGCCCCGTCTTGTTGTTTCTGCCGAGCCACTAACGAGGCGTTCTAGTGACTCGGAGGGGGAGGATATAACGGAACGTAATTTCCGAACGTGCGATACCGCCCCCGCCGCCGCCTTACCGCCCGCTGAGACAGAGCTCTCTGAGCGCGAAAACACACGCCCTCAGCGCGCGCGACGACGACCAGTAAAATATTGCGAGTCTTAGTTTAACTGTACGATTCTCAACTCATTTTGTATCTTATTTTAGTTATTGTGTCGCTTTTTATATTAAACCTCATACCAAATCAGTGTAAACATTATTTCTATATCATCTTCGCCAACAGCCCGGAACAACGAACTCACGAAAATTCACAAAAGTCCCGCCAGTCGGACTTGTAGTGTTAAATAGTTTATTTCGTATATTAAAATTTTTTGATAAAGTATTTATGCAGTGTGTTGTAGTAAGTAAATAATTTTTATCTTTTTTTTTTGTGTGCCGCCAAATTTTGTAATCGTTAAATATGTGCCGCAACAAAAAAAAAGGTTGAGAATCACTGCGCTATGGACTTTGCGTATGGCTAGATTGCTTTTCAAATGTTCATGACAGCCGGCCAAGGCAGACAGTGATATTGGCCCAGCATTCTAATTTATTTTGAGCTCATGTCGTCCCAACTACTCTAGGGCCAACATACTACTCCAAAGGATTCATTAAAGACTAGAGATGACTACCTTAATGGGAATAGTCAAGCCATTAACCATCTAATTTGATTAGTCTTACGTA